AAGTTTGATGTAGACTGTAAGATGGGATTACTATGTATAAATAACACCTGCACAGCACCCTAGGACTACCATATTTTATTTGTTTATTTATTTCTTTATTTTTATTTTCTATACCTTTTGTTATTTTGTTTTGCGCTTGTTATGTGTGGAGCATGAAGCTGGAATGAAGCTATATAAGTTAAATTAGAATTAATAGTAAATTAATATATCTGTCACGAAAAATGGTTATATGACAACCATTTTTTAGAATGCGATAGAATTCTTTTCTCAATATAAATAAAAAGTACAAAATAGAAATCTACTCGTGGCTTTCCACAAATATTAACAGTTAATAAATAATTGATAATGGCTTTTACTAAAAGCGCATCTATGGTATTTTACACCTATGTATACATTATCTCAAAAATTAGATAATTAATTAATGTGGGGTGTCTTAGGTAAAAATGTTCTATGCCCTCGAAAACCCTTTCCGGTGCTCACGCAGTTAATTTAATTAAGAATACTACGCTATTCCTATCGAGTGACCCGGGTTGAGATTTTTGAGACGGGTCGGAACCAGTGTTTAAAATTTTATTTTCTCAGTGTTCTCTGAGAACACTTAGCAATTTTATGAATATAAATTGTTGGAAAATGTCCTCTCTAATACTGAGAACGTTAAAAAATTTTTAAGAACATTTAAATTCGAATTTCAAACACTGATCGGAACATTATCGTGTAATTTCGCATAAATCGGTATAACGATAAAGCAGGCAGAATTTGGAATATGTCGCAGCCGAAAATTATGCAATTTGATTGGTTAATATTCGCATGTAGGTCTACAATCAACTTCACCTTTACGAATGTTTTAATTCTCGTGTTTATTTCCTTTACGTACGTACAATTAATAATGGCAAACCTTATAGACCTTACACCAGACGTCGATTTAAAGAAGCTAGTTGAAGAACATAAAAACTCAGCAATAGTTCTCAATTTCTGGGCTGAATGGGCTAAAGCATGCGAACAAATGAATGAGGTCTTTGCAGAACTTGCGAAGAAATATACAACACTCAAGTTCATTAAGGTTGAAAACTTTTACTTCCTTTGTACTGATATATGAATCCTTGTTAAATTATCTTTTGTGTACTTACAAAAAGATTGAAGCCGAAAAATTCCCTGATATTTCTGAGTCTTTTGAAATCGCAGCAGTGCCGGCATTTATAATTCTCAAGGTATGTACCGATTTACTTCTTCTCAGATAGTAAAAGAAAGTTTATTGATTTCTAATTATTCTTAAGAACGGAAAAATTTCTGATCGTGTTGATGGAGCTAACGCACCTGAGTTGACGGCCACAGTTTCCAAATACGCCAAGACTAATACTGATTTCACAATAAAATATTCCGATCAGTCAAAAACAACTCGTAAAGTTGATTTGAATACATACTTAAAAGAATTGATCAATTCTTCTCCAGTGATGGCGTTTATTAAGGTTTGTTCATCTATTGCATAATCATTAAAACTTTATTACAAATTCATTAATAATATGATCTAATTGTATCTTTTCATAAAAGGGTACACCAAGTCAACCTCGATGTGGGTTTTCAAGGAAAATTATCGAAATCCTTAACGATCATAAAGTGAAATTTGGTTCATTCGATATTTTGACTGATGAAGAAGTTAGACAAGGTATATATAATTTATGTTGTTAATTAAATAAATAATTCTTTTAAATATTTGATAATTAATTAAATATCCTCTATAGGCCTGAAGGAATATTCAAAATGGCCCACCTATCCACAGGTTTTTATTATTTGTTTTATCATTCACATTTTACTTTGAATTTATCCATTAAATAATTTATTTCAATCTTTTTTAGGTATATATTAACGGAGAATTAATTGGTGGATTAGATGTTGTTAAAGAAATGATTGATAATGGGGAATTTCAAAGCATGATTTCAGATGTTGCTAATGGTGAAAATTGATTTATTCAATTAATATCGTTACGAAACTTGTTTAGTGACCGTAAATATGTAGTTATTAGCCAAAGTGCCAAATATTTAGTACCTGTGATAAGTGATAATGCGGCCTATTGACAAATTTTATACAGAATGAATTTATACTTTAAAAAATGATAATTATTATATTTATAAATAAATTAATAGTGAAACTTGATAAGGTTATGTGTTATTGTTAAGAAAAGTGTTTGAAGAATCTCCATTCAATAGGATTATCTAAAGAACATAATAATATATTTTTCTTTAAATATAAAATCATACACATAGCGTTGACCAGTGACCTAAGTCATATTATTACACAGCTCCTAATTGCTCACCCATAATTTTTTTTACTGATATTTTCACGGTTGATATTTTCACTGCGAGCTTTAAATCTTTTTTGTCGATTTCTTAGATTGTTAGAAACTTAATTTGTAAATTATTATAAGGAATATAAAACGAGAAAAAGAAGACATTTTTTCGCCGAGAAGAAAAACCTTGTGAAAATAACAGTTGTAAAGTTAAGGATGTTATTACACGTATTTGTCGGCGAAGTCATTAAACATCCCGAAATCAGTCTCCATAATATCTTGACTGACCCATGATGTTTATGATAAAACGGGAAATAACTACTACATACAGTATTTTCGTGGGATAACGCTTCAAATATGCGTCCCGAAATAACGCGCATCTTATAGTAAGGGGTGCTTATTTACAACAAACACTCCGGAACTAGATTTACTTAGTACCAACTAGCTCCGGATCATTTTTTGTCGTGGCTGAAGCTGGAAATGGCTGAAGCTGGAAATTTTAAATATTTTAATATGAAATTTACAAAAAATTTTG